GTGCCTCAGCCTCCCTATGTACAGGAAGTATGAGCAGTGCCTTCCTGCTGGGACTAGGGACAGGATTTCAAAGGTCACAAGATTCTGGGAGGAGGGGAGGATCTAACTAGAAAGTCTGGGAAACATTTGTTTCAGTAGAAACTGTGAGGCTGAAGACAAAACGAAATATCTATAAGTCATGTCATCCAGTTGGTAGTGTCCTATGAGATGGGGTTAATGGTGTTGAATCTGCTGACAGGGACACTGGGTCTGAACAAGGAGACGCTGCTAGGTGGCAGAAGCGTCCTCCCAGGCTGTCCTGGGAAACCAGGATCACCTGGTTCTTAGTGGTGACCTGTGCTGAAATTCCCTGATGGGTCCAGGGAGGCCATAGAACCAGATGTTGACCAGTGAGCTGTTTCATCCACATATATTCAAACACTACAGGAAAAAAAATCAGTGCCTACTGAATCTTTATAGCTGGCAAACATGTTGCCCTGTAGTACAGGCACAAAAGACAAGCCCACTTATTGGGGTTAGAGAATTCAGACCAGGCAAGAAGATGTCCTGGGCCACACCTGGACCTCTCTACAGTTGAGCAGCAAGGTCACCTGAAGATACTCTCACTCTTGAACTTGGTGGTTGCTGCATGGAGTACCTGTGTGGCCTTTCCATGTGTTCTGAGCGTTCTCGAAGCATGGTGGATGACTGGAGAGTGAGGAGGGCGGAGAGGAAGCCACCTTCGCTTGCCTGGCGCTGGCGGCTGGCAAGCTCCTCTCCGCCACCCTGGGCTGTGAGACAATTACAGAATCTACCCTGGCCTGGGATGCAGGACCCTGTCACACTGCGCAAGGACCCTGTCACACTGCGCAAGGACCCTGTCACACTGCGCAAGGACCCTGTCACACTGCGCAAGGACCCTGTCATACTGCGCAAGGACCCTGTCACACTGCGCAAGGACCCTGTCACACTGCGCAAGGACCCTGTCACACTGCGCGAGAAGAGCATGGAGGCTGAAACTGGCCAGGCACCTGCGATGCTTGGAATGAGAAGTGTGTCCTGCAGGCCCGTGTACTCCAACACTTGGCCCGGGCTCTTTGAGGAGATCAGGGGACCTTCGGGTTGCCTTGGAGTTTCTATTGCTCTGATAAACACCACGGCCTTAAGCAGCTCGAGGAAGAAAGCTCATCGTGCATTCACTTCTGCATCACAGGCTGTCATGAAGGCACCTGGGACTCAAGGCAGGGGCCTGGAGGCAGGAGGAGGAGAGCCCATGCAGAAGCACTGCTGGCTGGTTTGCTTGCATGCTTTCTTACAGAGCTCGGGACTCTATGTCCAGGGGTAGCACTGGCCTTCTGTGGGCTGAGCCCGCCACACATCTATCGTTAGTCAAGACAAACACTCCGCAGACTTGCTTACAGGCCAATCTTATGAGGGCATCTTCTCACTCGTGGATTGCTTTCTGCCAGCACAGAGGCGGAGCCTTGCTGGAGGAGGAGGGTAGGACATATAACCTCGCTCTATTTCCTGTTCTTTCTCTCTGCTTCCGTGTGTGTGTGTGTGTGTGTGTGTGTGTGTGTGTGTGTGTGTATGTGTGTGTGTGTGAAAAATGTGACCAGGCCGTTGTACATGCTGCCGTGCCTTCAACTCTTGTGGGCTCTGACCCTCCTGGAACTGCACACCAAAACACATCCTTTCTTCCCTAAGGTCATGCTTTTGGTCATGGTATTTTATCATAGCAACAGAAAATTCACTAGTCCACCGTCTGTGGGAAAGTCAGTCTCCCACAGCCCAGCTAATATTCTCTCACAGCCACAGCCCAGAGAATTATTCTGTTCTGAATGGGGCTGAGTGTGAGCAGAGAACCAATTTCTGTGAGTTGTCCTTTGACCTCCACACACAATCCATGGCACATGTGGACCTCTCCCTGATCCCCACTTGCAACACAAAATAAATAAGCAAAATGTAATAAAAATGTAAAATAAAAAAGACCTGTAGTGCTTGTGTGGACAGATACCACTTAGTAAACTCACACTAAAATTGCATATAAATTATTTTTCTCTCTACACACTTATTATTAAGACATAGCCTCTGAGCTGCATGAAGAATATTCTAGCTGTTTCACACGAGGCGAGACCCAAGTTCACCTTTTTATAGCACTGAATATAAATTTCCAGGATCATTTACTGGCCAAGTATTCTTCTCCACTAGACAGTTGTTGAGTTGCATTATTTGCATAAATGTACTAACTTTCCTCTACCACTGACTTAAATGCCCTGCTGGTACCCTTTGTTTCTTATAAGGCATGCCTTTGTGTTTATATGGACGGAAGGGACACACAGCTCCCTCTTCCCACTGAACTTGTTGCAGGTGTGACTTCCTGGCTCGGTAGGAGTTTGCCAGGAAGATGCTGGATGTGTGGGAAATGTTAGGGTTGCTTTGGGAATATTGGGGTTCTCCTAAATCCATCACCTTTTATAACTGCTGAGAATTTAGAATTCAAAGGACCAAAGCTGCCGAGACTGAGCAGTGAGTGGGCATGCTTGAGGACGTGCACATGCACGCTAGGATGAGCTGGAGGAGAGACTGGGCGGCAGGCAGGACTCGGCTAGGCTGATTGCGTAAGCGGAGGGCAAGGTGATTCTCTGAGTCTTTATGTGAGAGGAACCAGCATGTCTGGGAGTTTCAGGGCTTTGGGGTGCAGAGAGCAGGCAGCTTCAGGAGGTAGGTCATGGCCTAGGCACCCCAATATATTCACTGTTTGTTTAGTCACTGATTTGGCAAGTACTTCTACAGTGCTTGTTAATATGTTGGGTGTTGCTTAAGTAAGAGCCATATAACTGTTAAGGTAGAAGCCTCATCTCAGTCCCATCTCTCTCTTTCCAGACCCCACCCCTGAGAAAGCAGCAGCTCTTTCCACAGAAGTTATTAAAGGCCCCCTCATCAGGAGCAGCCTCGTGGTTCCCCCTCTTTCCCTAGACCACCCGGTTGCTCAGATTAAAACCTGGACTTTAATTTGACTTGATTGGCTCATTGCATGAGCAGAGTTACATACTCTTGGGTTGGGGGGATATTTATTATCAATAATGAGAAAGATGAAGGACATCTCGACTCAGGGTTTGCATTTGAAGAGAGACTAGATCTGGTAGCAATCCCACCACTCAGGACACTCAGGTGGGATGATGGGTAGTTTGAGGGAAGCATGGGCTCATTCAAGGTTGGCTTCAGCTACATGGGGGGAGATCCTGTTTCCAAGAACAAACGGGAAAAATAAGTGTGTGTGTGTGTGTGTGTGTGTGTGTGTGTGTATATATGACTAATGTCATCAAGAAAAACAAAGATCTGAGACAGACAAGGAATGACAAGGTCACGAGCACTGAGCCCAGGAGAGGAGGCTTCTAGACTGTGAAGGCAGCTGAGAGGAAGTGAAGCTGCAGGAAGTGGGGAAGGTGTGCAGAAAGGGGCAGCGTGGCTCTGAGTGTGGGAGCCTGAACTCAGGGTGTGGGAGCCTGAACTCAGAGTGTGGGAGCCTGAACTCAGGGTGTGGGAGCCTGAACTCAGGGTGTGGGAGTCTGAACTCAGAGTGTGGGAGCCTGAACTCAGGGTGTGGGAGCCTGAACTCAGGGTGTGGGAGTCTGAACTCAGAGTGTGGGAGCCTGAACTCAGGGTGCTGGGAGCCTGAACTCAGGGTGTGGGGGCCTGAACTCAGGGTGCTGGGAGCCTGAACTCAGAGTGTGGGGGCCTGAACTCAGGGTGCTGGGAGCCTGAACTCAGAGTGTGGGGGCCTGAACTCAGGGTGCTGGGAGCCTGAACTCAGAGTGTGGGAGCCTGAACTCAGGGTGTGGGAGCCTGAACTCAGGGTGTGGGAGTCTGAACTCAGAGTGTGGGAGCCTGAACTCAGAGTGTGGGGGCCTGAACTCAGGGTGCTGGGAGCCTGAACTCAGAGTGTGGGGGCCTGAACTCAGGGTGCTGGGAGCCTGAACTCAGGGTGTGGGAGCCTGAACTCAGGGTGTGGGAGTCTGAACTCAGAGTGTGGGAGCCTGAACTCAGAGTGTGGGGGCCTGAACTCAGGGTGCTGGGAGCCTGAACTCAGAGTGTGGGGGCCTGAACTCAGGGTGCTGGGAGCCTGAACTCAGAGTGTGGGGGCCTGAACTCAGGGTGCTGGGAGCCTGAACTCAGGGTTCTGGGAGCCTGAACTCAGGGTTCTGGGAGCCTGAACTCAGGGTGCTAGGGGCCTATCTCAGGGTGCTGGGAGCCTGAACTCAGAGTGTGGGGGCCTGAACTCAGGGTGCTGGGAGCCTAACCTTGCCAGCTGAATGCTTGAGCGTCACGTGTTCTGATAAACTGTTTCCATGATGTGAAGCTAGGCCGTGTTGATGTTATGATGTCTATCCACTTGTGTGCTAATGTATGATTCAGTTCATATGGTGTGAGATCATGGGCATGGATGTGTGTGTGGCTGAGAGTATGTGCCTCATATGTTTGTGTGTGTGTCTGTCAGCGTGAATGCTATATACATATACTAATGTACCTTGTCTGTGTGTTTATGTGTGCTTTACCATGCATATTTGAGTGGTTATGTATGCAAAAGTTCACATTTATGTATGTCAATACCTACGTGTTTGAGCTTTTTTCATTTTATGTGTGTGTTGCCTGCATATACCTCTGCACTTCACGAGTGCAGTACCCGCAGAGGCCAGAAGAAGGCATCAGGCTTCCTTGGGCTGGAATTACCAATGGTGTAGCATGTGTGCTGCGAATGAAACCTGTGTTCTCTGAAAGTATAGCCAGTGCTGTTAATCTCTGAGCCACCTCCCCGATCCCTATGCCTGGATCTTTATGTTTGTACACATGCTTGTGAGCATGTGCCGGCGTGTGTGTTCCTGGGAACACACCAGGTGGAGAAGAACACAGAGGGCAGTGAGCTCACACTGGGGCCCTTTCCTGATAAGCTGGCAGGGACTGTAAGCCTTGCCAAGGGTCACAGAACAGACCCGTGTCACTGATGACATCACAGAATAAAGCCAGGATCCTAGTGACCATGTGGCCACTCAGGCTGGGGCTGGCTGGAGGGCACAGCCCACAGCAGCTCTCGCTGAGATTCTGGGTGCTGGTTTGAGGTCATGAAACGCCATCTCATGGAGCAGAGGGGAGAACAGACACCAATCCCTGGGACCACTATCAACATGGGCAGCCCAGAGTCCGCGGAGCAGAGCACGGGAGTGTGCTGGCCAGGTGGTCAGTAAATGGGGAAGGGGCAGGTTGGTCTCTGATGCGTTATCGAAGGGATGTGTTGATCATACAAAGCAGAAGGGAGAAGGACCATGAAGAGAGTGATCCTCAGGGGAAGCTGGCACTTCCTAGGCTGTTGTGCATCTGTGGGGGTTATTTCAGGAGATGTGTAGACGAGAATGAAACTGCTCACCTTTTCATATTGATCTTAACGTGTTTGAAAAGAATTGTGTCAATCCTGTAAGTCCTGTGGTAATTCCTTCATAGCACATGGATGCAAGCTAATCTAGAATGCCGACTCGGTGGTCACCAGGATGTGTCTTTGAGCAGCACTCTAAGATAGGATCTGCTCTTGGAGCCAAGTGGCTCTGCCAGGCAGACACACTCTCTTTGCCTCAGTTTCTTTATCTGCTGGGTAAAAATCCAAACAGTGAAATGCCTTAGCCTTGCTTCAAACCGTAAAGGAAGCGGCGCACGGGACACACTTGCATGGTGACAGGGACACCATGTGTGTCCACAGAGTGGATGGGAGGCCCCCTGGATGAGACCCGAGACACGTCACAGAGGAGGAGAAGCTGGGGCTTCTCTGGCTGGCAGAAGCACAGCCCCATTCTTGATGTGAATTGGGTGTTACGGGCCTGCTGTCTGCATACACGATGTGTAAAGGGGAAAGAACCATGACAGTCCATTTGAGTAGCCGCCACAGCCCAAGCACAGGATATTCTCATGACCCCTGAAAGTCCCCCAAGGGACCTTGATGTCCTGTCCACTCCTCCAGCTCTTGGTAATTGCTGTTTCCCCATAGATTTGCTTTTTTCTAGAATGCCTTTTGAGTGCAATCATGAGGTGGCTTCTTTCATGTAGCAGATACATTATCTTTTGTGTCTTCTGCATACATTTCCTGGTTCATTCATTGTTACCCGCGAACAGAATTGCATCCTGTGGTTGTACCACAATCATTTACTTTTCAGTCTGCCAGCCGCTGACCTTTTACACGTCAGCTGGTAAAGTTCACACACTCGTTTATCCTTATGTCCCTATGAGGTAGCGTGTGGTCATCTCTGATGACCTGCAGGCACCTTCCCCAAAGCCGCCAGAGCCTGGGTGATTCTGCTTGTGACTTCCCATGAAAGTTATGAATTAAAGCCTTCCGAGAGAGAGCACTGATGAAACTGTCCTTCCACTTCTCAGGGACCATGAGGAGGAATGAGTCATCTCCACAGCCAGGGCCTGCCTTCCTCCCGGAGGATGACATATACTTGGAACCCCAGGCGCACGGGATGCTGGGTTGGAACAGCTCGCTATCGTCTCAGTCGTCCTCAGAGTACCAGTCTTACTCCCAGTACCAGTCCTGGCCCTCCAGCAGGAGCGAAGAGCAGCAGGACGCCCCGCCAGAGAGCGTGTGTGCCCTGTACACCCACGTGCAGACTGTGCGTGGTGTGGCAGTGGCTTGGGAGACCGATGAAGGCTTCGAGCCAGTCACCAGGAAACCCCTCATCCGCGAGGCCGAGTTCATCAAGCGACAGAGGCTGAAAGGCTCCTCCTTCGAGATGGCCTCCAACACAGACCTACACTGGGAGCTGGAAGCCTGTAAGCAGTACTGCCCGCAGGCTGAGGACACCATGGACTGCTGCCTGCAGGAGCTGCGAGCACCACCGGATTGGCTGGTCACCACTAACCACGGCCTGCGCTGCGTGGCCTGCTGCAGAGTCTTCCCCACGCTGGAGGCGCTACTGGACCACGCCCAGCATGGCATCCGCGATGGCTTCAGCTGCCAGATATTCTTCGAGGAGATGCTGGAAAGGAGGCGGGCCCGGGATCAAAGGCAGGACCAACAGCCTGTAGAGGAGGAACAGAGCCCTTCAGATAGTAGTGAATGTCCAAAGCCTGGTGCCAAAGTGCTTTCCCAGGAGCAGCAGCCAGAGCAGCAGCTGGAGCAGCTGCAGCAGCCAGAGCAGCAGCCACAACCACAACCACAGCAGCAGCAGCAGCAACAGCCACAACCACAACCACAGCAGCAGCCACAGAAACAGCCACAGCAGCAGAAGTCACCGCAGCAGCTGCATCTGCAGAAGCAGCAGCAGCAGCAGCAAACACAGCATCCACAGCATCCGCAGGGGGAGTAGAGACCGGAGGTGAGGTCCCCACCCTCCCTCCAGCATCGTGGGCTGCTGCTCCTTTTCCAGCTGGCAGGACCAGAGCCACCACCGGAGCACGGGGAGAGGACCTAGGTGGTGGGAGAAAAGCCATCCATGTGGCAAGGCGGGAGGGGTAGGAGCCTTTCCCCAAGGTGCGGCATTTCCACCAAGTCCGTTTCCAAACCTGAATCCAAAGAAGAGGGCTTCAAGAGTTCCCGATGGTGTAATGCAAAATAAGCAGCATGCAAGCATGTGGCCACAGGGATTTCCATGTTTCTGCTGAAGGATCAGCAGCACTCCACATCTGCCACTCAAGCACACGTGACTCCCAGGAGAGCCAACCGCAAATGAAGCTTCGGCCCTATTTTTTTCATTGTTAGGAATCTGTCATATGCCCTAATTCTATGTCTCATGTTGTTGGGATTAAACTTGAATAAGATGGAGTGGTGCGGAGTGTCTGAGTGAGCCATGCTACCAGGATGGGCACATAAACGACTGTTTGTGTAGGTGACCAACTAACATATGGGGAGACATGCGGTTTTGCAGAAGACGGAGCTTGGGTTCTTCTGACTGGTCAGTTCGAATGCATTTCAAATGTTGACAGGAAATTGACCGGCACCCTCCTCCTGACCAGTACAGGGGCTACAGTGTGCAAACAAAGACACCAGCCAGGGCCACTGGGATAGGTATGTGGCCGATGTGGCCCATGTAGGTTGAGTAATCGTTATTAGAAATGCCTGGAGTCCAAGCATTGCACACTCTTCCAGAAGTGGGACTGTCTGCATGTACTTAATGAAGTATGTTGGAAAAGGGACCCAAGTGTAAACCTCTGTCTCGTCAACCCTGTATACATGCATCCAGAAGGAAGTCTATTCAGCATCTGCACTGCCCCTGGTTTTCACTGGCTCAAACACATGAGGTCAGGTGTGAAGTGTTCCACTTGTGACAGCATGTTGGTGCTCAGAAAGTTTCAGACTGGGGAGCAGGTCACTGTGAATTTCAGTTTCTGAGGCTAGGGACGCTCAGTCTGTATGCAAGCTCCACGGTGCCACGACAAAGTCAGTTGCAAAGCACAGGGTTAATCTTGTCGAGAAGGTCCAAGACCCAAGAGGAGGGGCCCTGAGACAAGCTGTTTGCTCAAAAGGTGCTTGTACACAGTAAAAGCCAGGCAGAAGAGCATGCAGTAGGGTTGCACAAAGACAGCATTGCCAACACTGTGAGCTAAATGGTTCTTTGTGGGCCAGGGGGATTCCTCCCTCTGACAATGAAAAACATACCCGGTAGAAACTGTGCAAGATTGCTCCAGGTTAGGAACCCATGAGCGAGGTAAAACGAGGGCCCTGAGAGAGAGAATAGGTCAATGCATTCAGAGCAGTGCCGTCCACCTTACCCAGCTGCAAGGCTGGAGGTCTTGCTCTCCACACTTTCAGTGAAGACTTAACGCCTACCATGTGGCAGGCGCTGACTAGATACAGGAGCAGGAAGAGGATAAAAGGGACGGAAGCAGGCGCAGGCGCTATTTGGGAAACTGCATGGCCAGCGGGGGTGGTGGGGGTGGTGAACTGATTAGAAATACTTTCAAAAGTGCTTTACCCTGACCTGCAGGGCCCTTGGCGCTCACCCAGGACACGTTTCATCTGCCCCGGCACTATCCGCTTCTCTTGCTGTGTTCTAGCCTCTCTGGTCTTTCTTAACGTGTCTAGGATTTCAAACTTCAGAGCCTTGGCACATGTGCTCAAGAGGAATGCATTCCTTCCCTGTCCTCTGGCCGACACGTTGCTCTTCTCTGGAATTTTCTCCATTACGACACCATAGCTTATTCCTCGTTCTGTGTGCTGATTTAAGAAGACAGACAGTGGCAGGGTCAGGCCCACGACTTTAAAACCACAATGCAGAATGTAAGAAGTGGGATAGGAGCAGCAGGAGAAGGTGGGAGGTGGGAGAATTTGCAACCTGGTGCAGGGGTTTAGGTCAAGAACGGTGGTGACGTCCATGGGACAAGAGGAACAAGTTCATTCATGACATATTTGGGGAGTCAAGCATGAAGGCCTTGGAAACGAAGGGAAGGGCACACCAGGCGGGAGTACACAGTTGGTAGCAGGACATAATGTTTGCTGACTGATACAGGAGACTTTGGTGGAAGATTGGAGTGTGTTCATGTGAACACGTGTGAACATGTGTGTGAGCATGCACCATGTACCTTATGTGATCGTGTCTGTGTGTGAGCATGGCCTCCATGTGGACACAGTTGTGGCATAGCGGTCAGTTGGGACATGTGAATTCTAAATGCTAACGGCAAGTCCCAATGGAGACGTTGACTGTGAGGCCATGTCTGAGTTAGACACAGAACAGCAGACAAGTCTGGGTTGGCACTGTAAATGAGGCTGCTAAGAGAATTCCAGCGGTGGACGGATGAGACTCTAGGGAGCTGGAGTGGAGGTAGACTGTGTGAGCTGGGAAACAGAACTGGGTAGGTGAGGTTAGGGAGATGGCTCCACTGTTGAACACTAGGCTTACAACCAGAAGGTCAAGAAAGGAGGAGGGGATGCGTCACAGGATTCTCCTTCTGGTCAGCTGACTTAGGGAAACATGGTCTTCAGGAGCGGTAAGCAGTGTAGGGCCTGCTGCTTGGGGGAGTGGAGTGAGCCAAGGACAAAGCTATTTTTATTTCCTCCGGGTTTTATGAAGCAGGCTCAGTGGCTGAGAAGAGAGGCAGTCGGATGGGCGCTGGTCAGGTATAAACGTAGGACAAATCTTTAGGGTCACGCCTGAAACCACCATGATGGCAAAGCAACGATGGGCCAGGAGGAAACTGAGGACAGACACACGTGTGGATGCTCATGAAAATAAGCCAGTGGAGAGGCAGACGGGGAAGCGCAGGAAAAGCCAGGGAAACCCAGGACCCAGGCAGGGAGGGTTGAAAAGAAAAACAATTGACCTGGAAGTAGTCAGCTTTGTATCCTGTTACATGTGGTGGTAGTTAGGTTAAGCGGGCTTGAGAGTGTAAATCATGGAACCTGAATTCCCGCCCCTGTGGCAATATCAAGGACCTATTGAATGTTAAGCAGAAAGACTGCATTTGTGAAAGACACCAGTGAGCACGGTGGAGGACGGAGAAGAGCAGCGTGGCTGAGGACAAGGGGTCCAGGTGGCCTGACAGCTGGGGAAATTCAAGGAAATTCAGAGGATTGTAACTATGGAGTCTGGCTGAGGGAGGCTGCCTGGGATTCCCTCTGGGGGTGTGGTGGTGAATGTTAGAGCTAGAAGAATGGAGTGCGGCTTGAGAAAGGAAAGAGGAGGTTAATTGGGATGCTGATGATAAGTCTGAGAAGCATCTAGAAGGGAGCCGGTTTGCAAGGAGCAGAGTGCGGACGGGGTGGTGCTTAAGAATGGAGATGATTTGTGAAAACCTACACACATGTGGTTAACTGAGACCATGATGTGCCCCATGGGCCTCCTGTAGGATGTATTCCCTCTGTTGGCTACAGAGACTCCGCCATGAGGACCTAATCCATTCTAAAAGGCTGTCTGAATGCACTCTGAAAGACGCTAGAGTATCTATATTGTCTGAGCCATAGAAAAGCTATTTGGCATAGGAGGGGACTCCCTCAGCTTAAAGGCAGGTAGAACCCAAGGACAATGTAAGAAAAGAGACTGCTGAGCCGGAAAAACCACCAGTGAGAAGGGGAATGTTTTTTATGTCAAATTCAGTGGGCAAAGACACTAAGGTCAGACATAGTAGTTCAAGTCTGGAGTTTCAACCTTTAAAAGACATGTTTACACATGCCTAACCCTGATATTCTAAAGACGTTGCCTTGTTTAAATTGCCTCATTCCTATTAAATCATGTGCATTCTCTACAACCACACAAAGGGTAGCTCCCAGCCTTATCTCTCTTACGTTGGTGAGTAACCCAAGACTTCATCGAGGTCACATGGCTATGCACTTCCAGCAGCCTAGCTCCAAACTGTACTGTAACCATGATGTTGAGACCCCAGCTTGGATGGGGAAGCAGGTGAATGTATCTAGGAAAGCATACATGCTCATCCTCACAGGCTGTGTCGGCTTTAGATTGAATAGCAGCAGCCCAGACGACAGAAGAGATGAAGGGAATGTAGGACAAATGAAGATGGTGGGTGACACGGACAGGGGAGAGGATAAAGGATGCTCTGCACAGTGCCTGACGCCTACAGACGGCTTTGCAGGGGTCTGGGGCCTCCACGTAAGATCAGTACCAGTGTGAAAAACTCTCCTAGACTTTTCAAAGCACCACGAACATTTGAAACGATAAATCACCTTAAACTCTTTATTTTCCCAAGCCATAGGGGAAAAATAGAACTCATTTCCCAAAACTTACATAAAGCCGATAACAAAGCCTGTCTAGGGCGGCACTAAAAGTCAAATGATGTATTAATCTCATACACACACACGATCATCAAATTTAACCAAGTATAAAAGGTACAATTCACCTTGACTGAGCTTGGGTTATCTCTTGGCTGAGGATAGTTAAAAATTATTACATCTGGCAATTAGTATTGCAAGAACAACCATGATTCTCTCAATATGAAGTGGATGTGATAGGCGACTCTCTCCAGTCCACGCCCACTCCAGGACAGGCAGTACTGTGCACTTACATGTCTCCCTTTCTCATAATGTCTGTGCTTAAATCTACATTTAAACCACTTCCTAGTAAACTCCAGCCTTGCTGCAAAAGAATATAAAAGATGACACGATAAGCAATAAACCGAAGTAAAACGCATATATTTGTGATCGATTGCTTTTCTGATGCGGGCTTCAAGTAAGCTAATTCAGTGGGGGAAATTGCTCTCTCCAACTGAAAGCAGACACAACTGGGCATCTGCAGGCAAGCAGGGGCTGAAGAGACAACTTAGTGGTTGAGAGTACTTGCTGTTCATGTAGAGGACCTATGCTCAATTCTCGGCACTCACAGAGCAAGTTATAACTGTAACTCCAGGGATATAATGCTGCCTTCTGGACTCCATGGGCAGCTGAACACACATAGTGCATATACTCAGATACATACGCATGCACATAAAAACAAGTCTTTAAAAAATAATGAAGTTGTATCTCTCTGTCTCTCTCTCTCACACACACACATACACACACACACACACACAGAGGAAGCATAGTTGTAAAATCTGAGACTTGAAGTCTTGTTTACACGGAAGCTTACATGTGAATATAGTAGAAAAATGTGAAAACATGACCTACATATTCACACAATGGTGAACAGATAAAACAAATGTAGTGTATATCTACTCAGTGGGATAAGTCTAGTGCATGTAAAACATGAACTGAACCCTGTGGGGATGTGAAACAAGCCAGCCTTAAAAGGCTACCTAATGTGCAACCCTGCGCATTTTAAATATCCGAATAGGTAAATTCACAGAGACAGTAAGCATATTAGTAACCGCCAAGCATTCAGCCAAGGGGAGGCATGTGAGTGATGCTAACCTCTGTGGCGTTTCTTGGAGTAATAGACGCATTCCAGGATTAGCGGTAATGGGTACAAAGCTTTGTAACTGTAATAAGGCACTCGGTCATATACGTGAAAAAGTTGAATCTTACGGACTATGGATTATATCTTGATAAAAATAGTTAATGAACACAACCACCATCGTGGGTCAGCGATCGACCTTAGTCCAGTGTCACTGGTGGCCTTACAAGACAAGGAGATGGAAGCATAAAGCTGTACAGAGAAAAGCCATGTGTGTTAGCTCCTACTCAGAAAGGGGAGTGTTGTCAGCCTCCTGTCGCTATGAAAAATGCCTGGGATAAGCCACTTAGGAAAGGCAAAGGCTTGTTTTGGATCACAGTTTTGGGGATTTCAGCTCATCGCATTGGTTGGTGCTGTTGCTTTGGGGCCTGTGGTGGGGCAGTTCACTGTGGTGTGGACCCATAGCAGAAGCTCATTCACCTGGTAGCTACATAGGAAAGAGAGAAAAGAGACCAGGTCCCACAATCCCACTTAAGGATACACAGGCAATGTCTAAAACCTCCCACTAAGTCTCTGTCTGTCTGTCTGTCTCTCTGTAGTATGTGGGTGTGCGTGCACGTTTATGAGTATATGTACATGCGTGGGTGGGTGTGGCTGTGGAGATCAGAGGTTAACCTTAGATGGCTTTGCTGGGATGCTGCCCATCTTTGTTGGTATTTGAGAGAGGGCTTACAGATTCAAGGTCCCAGGCATCCTCCTGTTTCTCCCTCCCCAGATCTTCCGTCTTAAGCTTAAACTGCCACGCCCAGCTTCGCACACGGGTGCTGATAAACAGACTGGTTGTGGCACTTTACTGACTGCGCTGTTTTCCAGCCTTAAAGGCTTCACCTCCGAACGGCTCCACCACCTTACAGTGCCAACCTCAGGGCCTTGCAGAGTCATGTGAGATCTACACTATAGCAGAGGATGGCCATCTATAACCCGGGGGGAGGGCAGGACTCAGAAGAAACCAACATTGGGTGATCAGGTCCTGAGACCCACAACTTGCTTTCAGACTTCTGACCTGTAGGTCCAATGGACAATGCATTTATGTTCTTTTAAATATCCTGTCTGTGGGCTCTTTGTGACAGCCCATGCGATTGAATCCAAGGAGCTGAAGCCAAAAGACAGCAGCAACAGCTAGGGATGAGTGAGGCTCCCTTCCTGGCTGATAATCCTTGGGACAATCACAAAGCAAGCTTTGTGAAGTGTGTCAGGGTGTAGGCGTTAGAGATAACATAACCACGGAATAAGGGGATGGCATTCCTCTCTGAGTGACCTCAAGTCTAGAGCAAGCAGCATGTGTCGTCACCTGTCAGAGTGTTTGTAGAAGGGCTTGGGTGTGCGTGCATGGTGACACTCTTAATTCTATCACTCGTGCTTCCTCTATGGGAAGCCTGATCAGGAGACCCCACCGGGAGCGCAGCTGGACACAGGGATGAGGAGGTTGTCCCGAGCTGAAAGGAAGGCAGAGCAAAGGTCTGTGAAAGTGTCACTTCTAGATCACAAAGCCCGGCAAGCCCACACTGTGTGTGTATTTGTAGGTGTGAGGGTGTGTTTGAGCATAAAAGCCCATGTGTGCCTGTGTTGGGAGGTGTGAGAGAGTGTGTGCATGGAAGGCTGTGTGTTGGTAGGCTTGGGAGTGTGTATACATGTGCATGACATCCTGATGTCCTGCATTGACACTAGCAAGAGGCTTCGGGCAGAGCACACACCTATGGAAGGTCCACAAATGGTACAGGTTCCCAAGAGTGTTTACATTCTCTGCAGGGCTTTCCGGAATCTTCCAAGTGCAAACAATGCTGTGTGAGATCAGGCATTGTCATCCCCAGGAGGAGAGCATGGGGGGAAATTCTCAATTTCCCAGGGGCTGGGGAGATTACACTAGCTGCTCCCCCAGAGGGACTGGGTTCCAATCCCCAGAACCCACATGGCAGCTTACAATTGTAACTCCAGTTCCGGGGGATCCGACACCTTCACTCAGACATACACGCAGGCAAAACGCCAATGCACATGAAATAAAACTTCAAAGAATTTCCCAGAGCAGTGTCAAGTGAACTCTCCTTTCTTAGGGTCAGGAAGACATTTACTAAAACTGTGCTGACTCAAGTCATAGACATCTGAGCTTAGAGTTGCCTTACAACTGTAAGCAAACACATCTTACATCACACACACACAATTACAGTAACAATGAAATCCAAAGTGACAGCATTGTTTTTATATGACGGCTTGTGAACCGAGTTGCCGAGTTTAGGGTTGAACACGGTGGAGTGTTCTGATTACTGGTATCTCACCACCATGTTCTGGACAGTGAGGCTGCCAATCCCAGCAGGGAGCTGATGACCTCTGTTGCTGCCATGAGCCTTTTGGTCTGGAGTTTCTGCAACCTGGGCAGCTCTGCATACAGGTAATCATGATTCTGCCACAGCACGTGCCCACCGCTGTGCCAAACACGGCAAGGTGTCTCCGGCTTCTATTTCCAAATTATTGGGAGACTAAAGTGAGAACTTACTGATAGCCAGGTCCTCATTTTAGATTCATAAAACCTAAGAGATCTGTTGTGTGAAAACATCTCTGATATTGGGCGGGAGGAGGATTGTGTACTCAATGGTACCTTAAGACAACCCAGCTATGAAAATTTGCATGATATCTTAGATAGCTATAGGGTGCTCGTACCCAACTATCAAACAAAAATGAGAATACATTTAATAGTCTGCAACCATTTTGTGTGCATGTATACGTGTGGCGTGTATGCATGAGTGGGGTGTGTATTGCATGAGCGTATGCGTGTTTTACATGTGTGTGGCACAGGTGTATGACAGTGCATATGTATGTATATATATATATATATATATATATGTATATGTATATATGAGTGGCGACTCAAGGGTGACATCCAATGTCCTCCTCAGATACTCTCTGTTGTATACTGAGGCAGGCCTTGTGGATCTTTTCTCTCAGTCTGGCTAGTTAGCTTTCTTCAGATATTTCCTGTCTCTGCCTCCCTTGCACTGGGATTACAGGTGGGCTGCCACACTCTTCTGCCACACTTTCTGGGATCTAGAAATCAGCATTCCAGCCCTCAGACTTGCAAGGCAGGCCCCATACCCTCTGAGCCATCTCCCATGTGTGTGTGTGTGTGTGTGTGTGTGTATTTTAATTAAGATGAGATCTGCTATTTGCCAGGCTGTCTTTGAACTCCTAGACTCAAGCAATCCTCCTGCCTCAGTCTCTCAGGTAGCTGGGACCATAGGCATATGCCACCACACTGACCATAAACAAATGTTCGCCGGGCGGTGGTGGCGCACGCCTTTAATCCCAGCACTCGGGAGGCAGAGGCAGGCGGATCTCTGTGAGTTCGAGGCTGGGCTGGACCAACAGCCTCGAAAACAATACAGAGAAACCCTGCTCGTAAAAACCAAATGAATAAATAAATAAATAAATAAATAGATGAACAAATGTTCATTTCTAAATTTTATTTCAAAATACAACACTACTTGCAAAGGCAGTACAATAAATTCTTTATACTCTTCACCTGGTGTCTCATCTCATTGGGCCCTTTTCTTCATGTGTCTCTCTACAGCTATTTTAGAATACATGTTACAGATAAGTATTTTTTTGAGATACATATTGTTTTGTCATTTACTTGTTTACTTAAGAGTAGTTTGTCGGTATTATGTCTGTTAAGCCCAAACACCAAGCACCAACATCAACACATTGTCTTCCAGAACCATGTCTAGGAAGTCAACCTATGTGATATGCAGTTTGTCCTGTCTGTGCACAAATTTTTCCAACGCTATCAATAATATCATTTTCGGCAATTATTTTCTGATCCACCGTACACCAAGTCCTTTTAACCGCCTCTATTTTGTGCAACTCCTCCATCGTTTTGTTCAGTGAGCGTTTTGTTGTTGGAAGTTCAAGGACTGGTCTGAGGCACTCAGTGTTGACCTGAGAAGTGATGGTCAGTTGTAAGGCACGTGTGCTCAGTTATACAGGTGACCTGTCTCATTCCTACATGCTTTATTCTAACCCCCTCCTTCTAGAGCCTTTGACTCCCTTTTTCTGCCTCCTGGAAACCAACCCAGATTGTTGTATCCAGTTAGCCTGCAGTGTCCTTGGCACCAGTGACACTTACCACTAAGGGCATTGTAGTCTGAGTACAAAATGTTGCGGACAGTGTTGAAGCCTAGGTCCCAGTAGGTGATGGTAATGTCTTGGTGTTGGCATATGATGCCTGGGCACTTGCATGCACACACACA